TGCTTTACAGTCTTATTCAATCCTGTATCCAAATACTTTTGAATTATCAGATAAATCTCGATCTTCTATTGATAGCCTTCAATTTTGGACATACTTTGATGAATTAATAAAACACCTTCTGCCTTTTGTTAGCATTCTAAACTATCTTTAGCATGATGCAGCTAATCTTTTTGATGTTGCATATGCATTTGGATATGTAGCACAACAGTATAAAAATAATGTTAATAGATTTGGTTATAAAATGCAACAAAAACTTGAAAAAAGATATGCGAAATGGGAACAACCTCTCCTTTTATTGGCAATTATATTTCACCCACAATATCGTATTCAAGCCTTGTCTGATATTAAATTTTTTTCTCTTAAATGAATAATGAGTTGGATTAACTATTATTATGAAATGTGGTTTGGTGTAAAACCAAAGCATGTCGCACTGGAACTAACTGAATATTATATGAAACATGGTATATTTAGTACTGAATGATTTGAAAATACTATTGAAACCATCTCAGCAAAAAATAAAAATATGGCAATGAATAATGTTATTAGATTTGCACTATTGTGATATTGGGAGTTTGTAGTGATTAATCAAAAAGATATTGGTAAAGTTGCACTCAGATTGTATAGCATTAAAATTAATTCTGCACCATGTAAATGCCTTTTTTCTCGAATGGGTTGGTTTCATAATCCAAAACGCACTCACCTCAAGGTAAAAAACAATATATTTAAAATTTGTAAATTCGCATAAATACACTTATCTTGTTGCAGTTACAAACAATCTTTAGAATGACTCAAGTCGTAGCCGAGATGGCATGGGAGGACCATTTAAATAATACTAAAGAAGTCCGCAAAACTGTAATCGCAAATCATATTACTAGTTCAAATGATAGTAAAGTATTATCATCTAATCAATCAGAATCAAATATCAAACCAAGCAATAAAACAAATGCACACATTCTGCTATTTGATGATATTGAAATGCCTAATAATAATGATTCTGATACCAATGATTATAATAGCAATGATTGTGATAGTGACAATTGTACTAATGAAGAAAATGAAAATGGCAAATCGGTTATTGGAGAGTGGACTCAAGAAGATAAAAATGAGGAACCTGAAGATGAAAATGAGAAACCTGAAGAATTAACCACAACCTTTTATAACACTATTAACTTACACAAAAATTATTCAGCTGAACACCAAGAATCGAAGATTAAACTTAGATACTTTTTTACCTACACTTTATCACAACCGTTATTCGTTCGTACCCTTCAGCAAGATGTTGAAGTATCCGCTAATAATTAAAATTTTATTTTTTTGATATTTTATGTAAAACAACGGTTGTTTTTTGTTAACTTTTATTATAATAAAGAACTTGTGCTAGTATTATATTTAAAAGATCAATATATAACTTTTTACACAGTAATTAGAGTAAAAGCTTTTTAGTAATACTGATTAAATTATCATCGTTGGTTTATGACCTGGTTACACGGACCAATTTGACTGTAGTCAAATCGGTCGAATTGGTCAAATTGGTCTGTATAACAAGATTATTGGAGTAAATTATCGCCGTTGGTTTATGATCTGGTTACACAAACCAATTTGACTGATTTGACCATAGTCAAATCGGTCAAATTGGTCTGTGTAACAAGATTATTACCCAATTTGACCAGTATCAAGATGCTTTGACCAGACCAGTCATTGGTCAAATAGTCAAAATGGTGGTCAAGCCAACACTGGTTACGGCAGCATCCCAAAAAGGTGGCTTGAGATACGAACTTGGTGATAGCAGCATAACATATACTAATAGGTTAGAGATTTTCAATAATGTACTGAATTTCTGTTATAAAATAATGTGTTGTATTACATATCTACAATAATGAGTAATAAAGAGGCAGTGTTGTTAAAAAAAAATAAAAAAATAAAAACCTCTAATAAAAAAGCTAAAAATTTTTTAAAATTTTATAATAAAATAAATCAAAATTTTAATATTATATTATTCAATTTTAGCATTATGCTTAACAAGTAATAAGTGCTTTATATAGTAACTATCTAAAAGTAAAAAAAAAACTTACTCAATACTGAAATACCTAAATGCAATTTACTATCCCTTAATATGTAGACCAACGCAGGCAAATTTGCCTGTGTTTTTGCACTTTTTTAGCTCTGATTTACTTTT